TACAGAAATAAATAAAAACTATTAAAATACATATATCCTTTTCTTTTGGCTTTTCTTCCCTTTATATGTTATTGCGCTAATTCAGAAAATTACATACAGTAATTAGTTTAGATTGCTGAAAGAATTCTGTACTACTTTCATTAAATATAAATCTGAATGTGTAAATACAATAAATTATTGCATAAAAATTATATTTTCTTTGATTCAATTATTTTTGGAATGGAACTAATAGGAAAAAACATGTAATTACAAAAGAAAGAAAATGTGGCAATTCATAGATGAAAGAAAAGATAATATATTTTATAATTGTACAGTTTTCATATTCAAATAATATTTTTTAACCAAATAACTATAAAAATCCAATTTACGGTATTTATAAGCTGTTCTAGACATTCTTTTAATTTTAAATACAAATAGCAAAACTGAAAATATAACTCTCAAAATAGTATTATGATTATTAATATATTTTATGTGTACATAATTTATATTAACGTTAAATTATATTAAATTTGTTTTATTACGTTTATGCTAATTTTACAGTAGCCAAAGTGTCTGTAAAACATGTCCCTAAAAATAACGAGAAATACAGTATAGCTATTTTACACTTACATTTAATACGGGATATTCATATTTTCGTTATTTGATTCTCCCTAATTCTGATGCAGTAATGCTGGAAATTCTGCTACAATAAATATAATAAAATCAATGTTGCTAACTTTTAAAAATCTTTATTTATTATTCGTTAGTTTTAATCAAGTACAGTATAATATAAACAAATGTATCTTTAATAGATGCATTAAAATCAGCATCACTGTCAATAGGATTTGAGAGGGGAATAAACCGCTCGGTGATTAAAAGTGAATATTTTTTCGATAATTGGTAATATAGGACATTCATTGTCGGCACTTACTGTTCCACTATTGCTCATCCGTACTCGCTTGTTTGATATCGCATTCGTCTCTTTTGATTCTATTACATCTTTGTACTTTTCGATTACTTCCATAAAATACTATTTTTCTATGAAAAAAATTAGTTGCCGACTTCTCTTCTTATTCTCTGCCATGTTTGTATCTAAGTAAGTGTGTATATATCTTTCCAAAATATCCCAAGCATGTAACGTGTGAGAAAATTTTCTAGTGTCCAAATTATTCTATTCACTAATCCTATTCTTAATATCTATGGATTAACTAATTCTTGGTGAAATCCTCGAGTGACTAATCCAATCGCTGAATATACAAACCAACCATGGCTGTATAAATAACACCACTGAACACTGGAGTTGGTCGTGGGTTTGCGCCTCGCCAACTAGCTGACCAGGTGGAATTTTCCGGGTTTTCTTCTCGTTTATCGTTTATAATACCTAAATAGGGACCAGTTACCCATAAAAGTCCTTCCGGGGGCATCCCCCTCGGCAGATCGTCCACGTGTTGCGTGGCAGTGAACAAATAAACCAAACCAACAAATAGAAATACCACGATTAAGCATTGTTGATGAAACATCCAGTTGGTGTCAGGAGTGGCTGGCAATCGAAATCGGCCCAAAAACGATTAGATCCAAATTTTGCGCCACGGGACACGTGAACGATCTGCCGGCAGGGATGCACCGGAAGGACTTTTCTGGAAAACTACTTTAGGTATTATAGACGAGAAGAAAAGTTTTTATTACTAATATAATGAAATACAAATAAATAGAAAAATAATGCATTTGAACTCCATTCTATCTGTTTTATAATTATATTTATTAAATTTCACAAAAATACTAGCTGCAAGGGATTGGAATAAAAGAAAACTGGCCCGTGAACACGAAGCTTGAGAAGCACTGGGTTAATTAAGTCTAATTGGGTTGCAATTTGAAAAAAATTGTACACCTATGAAGTCCCACTGTCGTCGTGCCCCTGTCCTTCCTTAATCTCGAAAAGACAATCAGATAGTTGAAAATTGAGACCAGATATACAAAGATTAGGGCCAGGAGGCCCCGATTAACTGTAAATGAACTTTAAAAGGATTAGAAACAATTTTAAGAATATGATAAATCCTTAATATTATAAAGTACTGTATTTTAAAAATTTAATTTCAATAACAATGTATACAACAGCTCGATATACTTGTACCAAAACGATCCACTGGATCGTAATCCGGAAAATTCGCCTTAATATAGCCCCATAAAAATATCCGGTAGGGTTTTTGAATTTCAATAATATTTTTTATTAATTTGTATTTCTGTAAAGTAAATGATGCATTTCAGTAAATGTTATGATAAAAGAATATATGTAATGTAATAAGAACTACATATGGTAATTTGCTATCTTATGACGTTAAAGTTTTTCGAACTGCCAAGGACTAAATCCGACTGCACATGTCTACCGTTTCGGGTTCCGGGTTCGAGTTGGGTTGAACACTCAGAAGTTTTCATAACTGGAATGACTAGGATATGTTGAACTCCATTCCTCATCACTCGAATGCCTCATTGTTGTTCTGTTCACAGGACAATACCGACACTTCTCGAAGCCTGAAGCGATAAACTTTTGCAGGACTCCCTTTTAAGACTCTAAATAAACTCCAATATGCACCCAACCGCAAGTGACTCTAGTATTTATAATAGAAATATAACTAGTTAAAAAACAGTATAATTTATTTTTTGTCAAAATTGGCGTGACCCCCTATATCTGAGGGCCCACGGTTGAGTCTGTGCATAACTAGGGTCCTGTCTAATCAAATCCATGAAAGCCACAGTAAAAAGTTTTCTTCTTGCCCATGTGACAAAAATTTAAAACGAAAGCTAGAATTTTTAAAATAAAATTTAAATTTTAAGCAATTATAATTCTTGTAATTGTTAAACGTTACAAATTTAATAATTTTATCAATTTTCTTCTAAATCAGATTGTACATATTCATTTATCTGATTAAGTAAATACAAAATATCTATTGAATTAATGACATTTGAATCACAAATTATATAAAAATTATCCACATATTTTCAGAAAAATAACTTTTAACATAACTAAATCCTTATTATTATTAACTTGTGAAATATTTTATTATAGGCCTATAAAAATTGAAATATGTTATAATAAACGAATATTTATCAAATAAAGATAAAATTTTAAGCAGAAACACACTCTTCGAAGAAAATCTTTCTGTTAACCTATCTTATACAATTTATAAAATATGATTTCTAAATTTTATGTTATAAATTGAGAGCAATTTTAGATAACTTAGTCCTTTGTTCAGGCCCTCAGTTTTTATAGGCCTCAGATATAGCCTATACAACGAACAATTACATAATTTATTGTGATATCGTCACAATGTCGGGCCGAAATTTTTAATCGTCTTTTAATTTAAAAATCACGCGACTTCCGATCCAGACCGGAAGTTCGTATATAGACCGAGTCCTCCGGCCCTAAGCCTCTGATCTCGATTTTCATCTAACTCCGTTCTGGAATTAAAGAAAAACAGATAAGTTCCTGTACTTCTAGCTATTTTATCTCGGCTAGTACTAGGATGTGTGAATTTATATACAAATGGCATTGTAAATCCACGTTTGACTAGGGTCTTGCACAAAATTTCCTCCGATTGAGTGCGTGTCCTGTATATGTTTTAAATAAGTTGTGCAGAACAGTATTTAAAGCTTAATTTATAAGATTTAATCTAACATATATTTCCGATTGAACATACGATATGAATAGATTAAGTACATAAGAAAATTGAAGGTTACTGCAACAAAATTATAGTTAAAAAAATGTATGTTTCTGCTTGCGTACAATCCGAAAAATAATTAAATAACATGGAAAATTATATTTATCGTGCGTTAATGAATATGTGTTTTCAGAATAATGATATTTGGTTATCCTCTAATAAAATACTAAGAATTTAAATACTTAAACAGGCGCAGGAAATTGAGATTGCTTTCGATATTGGAGGATAAATTAAAAAAGTGAAAGCTTATAAATCGAAATAATTAATATTTAAACTTACAAATAAAATAGTAATTGATACGTTTATTGTATCGACAAACACATCAAGTGCCAACATCTAATACTTCTAAACTTCTAAACATCTAATACTTCTAATTTAAAACTTCTAAAAAAATCTAATTAACGAAGGAATTTTATAAAATCGAGAAGTTTTTCAATTTCACTTTAATTATATATATATTTATAAACAATTAAAATGACAATAATAATTCAGATATTTAAACTAAATGACAAAAAAAAATTCTTTTTATAAAATGAATTTAACTATTTCCGATTCATTTATATTTTTATGTTAGAAATTTTTTAAAGTACGATATTCCTGAAAATTCCAAATTTTATTTTAAAAACATACTGTACACTTTAACCCCATTCGACGTATTATTATTATTATTATTATTATTTCATGTATTAAGTCACGTAGAAGTAATCATACGTTATCAAACTCGAGCGGCATTCAATATATTGCACGGATAATCGGAAAAATTGTTTTAACATTATTCCTAAATATTCTTTCATTCTTTTGCACCTAATTTATGACTTAATACGTTAAATATGAAAGTATTACGAGCTGTTTATATAAAACTGTACTCTTCTAACAACAAATCTTAGATTATAATCTTTAAAATGTTTATAATAAATTATATTAAAGATTTTTATGATATATTTATTTATAAATATTGCATAAATGTAATATATAATAGAAATTATTATTTAATTAAAATGTAATAATTAATTTCGAAAATATTTATAATGTACAGTACTATTCATTATACGATTTTCATAGTTGTCAATATAATAAATTATCCTATTTTCTTTACTTTAAACATCATCGTTAGACCGTAAAATTAAGGATGATTGAGAATATTTGTATATAATGTATAGAAGAATTTTATTTTTCAAGGATTTTGACGCAACGACATGCATTACGTTGAAATTCTTATCCGTGGAGAGAATTACGCACGTGAACAACTCGCCATCCAATAATCGTCGTGAGAAATGTATACACGAAAGGGGTGACGTTCTTCCGATCCGCTTTTTTTTTATATATAAATTACCGAACGATAATTGAATTTTTAACATCATGGATTCTGATATAAGCTTAAACAACGTAAAACAAAAGGTAGGTGTTAGTTACTGCGAATTATTGTAGTTAATTATATAAATAGGTTACCGACCGGTGTACGAGTTGTGATAATATAAAGCATGCTTTTGAATTTAACAATATTCTCGCGTAACTGGTTTTTATGACTGGAATTTTAATGTTAGAGTTCCGTGCGCCGTGGACTGTACAAACAATTCTTGAACAATATCAAAAAGACATGACGCGCGTCAGGAATAGGAAACTTTTAACAATTTATTATTGGAAATTCCTGGTTTTAACAGTAATATAGTTTCGTTTGATGATAACAATATAAAATTATTAAAAGTAAGCCTAAATTTTTACATTTATCGTCACTAGTTCATGTACTTAGCACTCGATATTTATTAACGGATTATATATAAACTATGTCTTAAAATAATATTAAAATTCGAGTATTTTCTGACAATATAATGTCTACAGTTTTATATTAATCAAACTTGTTCTTTAAAATTTAACGTGTTTTCATCCGATATATAGGCCTAAACATAATTTGTAAGAATTCTGACGAAATTCTTTATTAATTTTAAATTTGATTAGTTTATATTTTAATTTCAAAGAATAATCTGAATTAATTTCTGTATTTACTTAATTTCTATTCTTTTCTTTAGAATTTTGAGATGGATCAAGCTCACAACATCAATGGAGAATGTATCGAGGTGAATTTATTTAACTAATTACTTTTAATAAAGCGATAATCATATTATAGCAAACATATTTGATCGCATTCAAATCCTTCAACATCTAAGAGAGTGTTGAAAGATTTAAAATGCGATTAAATATGTACTGTATTTTAAATCGAAAAAAATTATGTCGAATGTGTGGTAATTGATCTAAATTGAGAAAAATATAATATAAATGTCGTAAAATAATTAGGCTGAATTGACAAATTTTATACTCTAACGAATTAATAAAAATAAATCATTTAAAATTCAGTTATATTTTTTGACACGTTTCATAATCGTTATTTTGTGTATAAGATGAACACATCGCATATAACTTTTCGAACCGATTATTTTTATTAGATGAACTCTGACTGATAAATTTCAAAGTTTCAAAATAATAAGAGACTAACAAATAATTTTTTCCTAACATTATAACGTACGGACTTGTTGCTAAGTAGAAATACTGTATAGGCTACTTCTTTCGTTTTCGTGTACGAGCAATGCAACAAAATGTCTGTAATCCATCCAAATTTGTTTACGTGTGAAAATACATCACTAGAAATAAATATATTTCTATATATACCTATAAATTAAAAATGAAGGGAGAAGCCGACGCTACGATCTTCAACGGTAGAACTTTAATAGTTACAGAATAAAATTAAAGAAATTTGACCAAATAAGTTGCTATTTTTCAATCAATATCCAGATATGTTAAATTCTAACTATTCTTTATCAGAGTGTTTACATGAATAATTTCTTTGGGCTTTTAAATTTTAATAAATTGTAATATAAACATTACGACTTTCAATTTATTTTCATTAATCATATTTTATTAATTTTCATTACTAATTAATAATCAAGCAATTAATTTTTAGGTAATTAGCGATGCTAATTTACTAATAAGAAATTAGTAGCATGGTGGACTGGATCAGTAAATGATTGTATAATATTTAATAATTCAGAATTCTGTCTGAAATTTGAAAATAGACTCCCTTCTTGAGTCACATGTTATCTTCTAAGAGGTGGCTATTTTTGGAAACCTTATTTGATAGCACTACTTTTAAAGCAATAACAAATGCAGAAATAAAATATAATGCCTTTCATATTAAAAACTAGAGACCAAAACTTAGACAAGGAAATCTATTTCCTTGTCTAAGTTTTGGTCTTCGAACTAAACTAGAAACATCACTTATTATTGTTGCTATTGGTGTTCTCCACAATACAGTTATAATGGTGATTCACTTGTTTTGGATATGATTAATCAGTTAGAAAAATATAATGGAAATGATGCTTGGGATTGGACCGTTTAAGTAGAATAACTGTTAGGAATACAATAATACAAACTTTCAGTCAATTAAAAATATGTAGTCAATAATTTCTTATTGAAATTTTTGTGTTATTGCAGCAGCGGCGCCCGCAGACTATAAAAAACAAAAGCCACAAGCTATATAAAGAAGGGCATTATACAAGAAGCTTCAAACTATTATTCAACATCGCATCAGCCTTCCCACAAGGTGGTGCTAGTTAGTCTGGACTAACTTGGCCTTGGAAATAAGTAATGGGACAATGGACAAAGTTGCATGGGACAATGGATAAATATGGCTTATTAGTTTCTTTTATATTTACAGAATAGATTAGAAGTCATGAACTTTCTGTTGTTCGTTGATCATGGAATTTTGGAACCCTTGGGGATTATGAAAAGGACAACCGAGGCGAAATAGGAACACGTGCCTCAAACGTCTCAAATGTACAGGCACCTCTGAGCTGCAGACTTTGATATGCGTGCATTCATAAATAAAGCCTCCTAATATTCAAATAAAACTTTTTTAAAATAAATTTGCTTACGATGTAATTGTAATATTTGTTTATTATTGTATAAATAAAATTTGTTTATACAGTATATCAATATATTTCAGTACAATTGAGTTGTGTTGGATTATTGAAACTTGATGCAAATGATATATAAAATTTCGTATTTAACAATAAACAGAATAACAAAAGTTTAGAAAATGTTAAAAATTTTCAGGTTATGCTTCTAGTTTTTAACAAATCAGTAAATAGAAACAAAGAAAATATTTCCAGTTATACACTACAGAAATAAATAAAAACTATTAAAATACATATATCCTTTTCTTTTGGCTTTTCTTCCCTTTATATGTTATTGCGCTAATTCAGAAAATTACATACAGTAATTAGTTTAGATTGCTGAAAGAATTCTGTACTACTTTCATTAAATATAAATCTGAATGTGTAAATANTAAATAATAAGAAATTCGAGAACGATGTTTCCATATTTTATTTATTGCAGATGCCCGCAGAAGAGAAAGAAGAACGTTCTTCAGATTGCAACATACATTATGGCGTAGACGACGTACCTCCTTGGTATATTACGATTATTTTAGGAATTCAGGTTCGTAATTTATTGTTTTTATTTGGTAAATTTTCACTCTTTCATTGTTTAGTCCTCGAAAATTACTCTGCCTTTTCTCAATACAAATACATAGATTAACATTGCAAACTTTAAAATCGAGAATATCATTTTTATATCAAATTTATTTGATATAAATTTAATTATTTTGATAAATTAATTTCGAGAATTTCAGAAAATATTTAGAAAGATAGAGAAATTATCTATATTTAAAAGAACGTTATCCGAATGTAGAGATTTGAAAGATTTCTCCTTCAGAAAATTATCTAATTTTTTTTTTAAATCTAGAATTAAACATTAGCTTTAGAAAACCTATTAAATATTTACCTTTCAAGAAATAATAATAAGAAATGTATTATTTAATAATAAGTCAATTGAATTAACCAATTTCGATATATTTGATAGGCTGTATTTATTTTTCTTAAACAATAAAATTGATTTTTGATATTATTTAACTATTGAGTTAATTAATCTAACGATCTTTATTCCGTAGCATTATTTGACTATGTTTGGTGGAACTGTAGCTTATCCTTACATCATCGCCCCGCATCTTTGTATGAGAAATGACGACCCTGCTCGAGGTTACATAATATCCACAACGTTCTTCGTATCAGGAATTGTCACATTTATTCAAAGCACATTTGGAGTCAGGTAAATATCAGAATTTAAATTCTAATTCATACAAAATTTAGAGTGGATATCGGTTCAAATAATCGCAGATAATTGAAAATTTTAATTACTTGAACTTATCCGTAGGTTACCCATCGTTCAAGGAAGTTCTATGGCATTTTTGGTACCGGCTTTAGCAATATTGAATCTTCCCGAATGGCAATGCCCCCTCGATATTAATGGCCACTCGAATTCTAATCACTCATTTACAGAACCCGAATTCCAAGAAATTTGGCAATCTCGAATGAGACTGGTAAGTAGGGCATTTGTAAACACAGAGCCATTGAAAAACACTACATTACCAACAATAGAAACACAGCACACCTTTTGATCATGTCGTAAATATTTACAATTGAAATTGTTTCTTATATATCAGTCGCTTAAAATGCCAGAGATCATTATCGATATAAAAAGTAGCGAGTGTTTAAAATTCAAAATATACGCTATTTTGTTTTGTAGATTCAAGGCTCTATAGCTACTGCCGCGGTTTTCGAAGTAGCCATTGGTTTTACGGGACTTGTAGGATTTTTATTACGCTGGATAACTCCTTTAGCGATTACGCCTACAATTGCTCTAGTGGGTCTTCCGTTATTTGCAGAAGCAGCGAATCACGCCAGTGGAAATTGGGCTATCGCTTTCCTGTAAGTATCTTTTAAAATGAAAAAAATGTCTTGTACTGTACAACTTAATTTATTTAAATACATTTTTCTTTTATAGAGCCATATTGCTACTAGCTTTGTTTTCTCAATATTTGAGGGACGTAAATATTCCCTGTTGCGCTTATAGAAAGCCTAATGGATGCATCAAAACAGGATATCCAATTTTTAAACTATTTCCGGTATTCATTTCGTTTCTTAAATTTACATTTAGAGATAAAGAATTTCGACTGAATGTTTTTAACCGTTTAATATAGGTTCTTCTTACAATAATTGTAACTTGGTTATTCTGCGTCATTTTGACAGCTGCTAATGTTTTTTCGGAAGGGAATTCTGCTAGAACGGATCTACAATTGTCGGCTTTATACGAGAGCCCGTGGTTCAGGTTTCCCTATCCTGGTATGTATAAGTCGTGTTCTATCTAATTCTAATACATTACATATTCGCTTGAACTTTAGATTTAAGATTAAAAAATGTGCCGGTTAGGTCTTCAGAATAAAGAACCAATGGCCTGACGACCGTATTCACAACAAAGGATCAACAGCCAATTCATTTAACGAATAAGCCTTCACGTACTAAAAGTAAACTTCTAATTTTTATTCCTTGGTTGTGAATAGGAATAAATGGTCATGTCTTGACATGGCTTAATCTGTCATATTCATCATTTATTTGGTTTTATATAATATCCACTTCTCAGTTCAGAATTTTATTCTTATAATCTCGTCGGGATAATCGGAGATAAAATATCACTCCACTGTCACAGATAGATTCGAATTCGGGCTAATAACACTTCATATGTGAGTCGTTTTTCAACAATTTTCTATAATTCGAATGCTATTGTCTTGTTATCGACTTGTCAACCTACACAATTGAGATTATTTCTCATTTGTCTAAAATCGTCTACAATATACAAAATTAAAATTAGTAGTTTAGCTGGTGACTCGCGAAAACATCGAATTCGATTCTATCGGTAATATAATTAAATTCATTTTTATTCTAATATAACGCATATTATTATTATACAGGTCAATGGGGCATACCGACAGTGACCACTTCCGCCGTATTAGGGATTTTAGCGGGTGTATTGTCGTCCATAGTAGAATCAGTTGGAGATTATTACGCTTGCGCCAGAATATCGGGTGCATCCGCACCACCCATTCACGCCATCAATAGAGGTATTTTCGTAGAAGGAATCGGTTGTATCTTATCGGGACTCTGGGGAACAGGTAGCGGAACTACATCTTTTAGCGAAAATATCGGCGCCATCGGTATAACTAGGGTAAGTTTCAAAAGTAATATGAAAATGCACTTTTTTGCGATTATTTACACATTTGTCTACGAAGGTGGGTAGCAGAAGAGTCGTTCAATACGGAGCAGTAGTGATGATTTTATTTGGATTCTTAAGCAAGTTTGGTACGCTCTTCATGACCATTCCCGAACCCATTATCGGTGGAATATTTTGTGTTATGTTTTCGATGGTAACGGCCGTCGGATTATCTAATCTTCAATACGTCAATCTTAACTCCACTAGGAATTTATTTATTTTAGGTATAAGTCTATTTTTAGGAATATGTATTCCGAAATGGTTACAAGCCAATCCTGGAGCTATAAATACAGGTTAGCTTAATATCTTATCTAATGCGGAAAATTATGTGTGTATATTTAAATTGATAACATACTTGTAGGAGTACCAACTTTAGACCAGATTTTCACCATACTGTTAGGAACTAATATGTTTGTGGGAGGATTTCTTGGATTTGTGCTGGATAATAGTATCCCAGGTAAGAAATATTCAGTATTTTCACAAATAAATTATTAATCCTACGAGACATTTCAGCACATTAAAATAAATGAACATTTCAGGTACCGACGAGGAGAGGGGGATAACAAAATGGAATAAACATAAAACTGATAAGAACCCATTTAAAAATAGCAATGATTGTTATCGACTACCATTTAGCGATAGGTTAAACTGTTCGTTTTTCTCATACATTCCCATTTGTTATTCTTACAACGAAACGAACATTGTCAATAAGCTTAAAAATGTTAATATTAACAACAGAAACAAAGAAGAATATACAGTGAACGTAATTAAACTGTAAAGTTTATATAAATGCGCTGCGTGATAAATAAATAGTTTTTATTTTAATAATTACAGTCTTATTAACATTATTATTATAATTGATGTGCATACTAACATGATTATTTTCTAAAAATTTATAACATAACAGATAAGTACAGTGTGGACTTATACGCACTTAAAACCCTAAAACATGCATGCTAATACAGTATGTTCCCAAACCGGTAAAATATACAAAATAATATGCAGCCTTTTTATTTCTATTATTTTAAATAAAATCGTTCGCACAATCTAATTATGTTTTAAACAACATTTTAAAGCACTCTGCTGAAACAGTGAGAAACCAAAAGTTGCTCCTACGTTCGTGAGTTATGTTATGCCGATTTCCATTCATAATGAGTTTGTACTGAGAGAAAAATCTCTCGGCGTCACAACATGCTGCAGGTGCATACTTGAAGTTGACGACGTTTTCCGAGTCGGTCTCTATTGCAAGAGCAATCTGCAATTCGTTTCCTGACAGAATGACTTCTGCCTGAAGTAAAACATCAAAATCCTGGGATTTTTTCAAGCACAGATTTTAATTTTTCCCCGGTTCTACATTCGGTCTGAGCAGGAACTAGACATAGCGAATCTTGGACACTTCTTAATACTTACAGTGTATCTATCAGAGGTAATCCAATTGTTTCCAGTTTCTCGAAACTCGGAACTAGAAAGTAAAAATGAACCGAGATATCTGTACAACTCAACTGCAGAACTGACAATCGGCAATGCAGTTGGAAGAGTTTTTACCAACATTCTGAATCTCTTTGACGCTATCGAAATGATCGTCGTAGAATTTGAATGCCTAAATCCGCCTTCTCCAACATGGTAACAGTGGAAGTAGAGGCACCCTGGGTATCGTGTCTCGATATTGTTGAACCCTCAAAGATTCTTTAACAAATACTTTCTTAGTTCTTTTTCCTGTATGTCCTTACATTTATAAATTTCTGTGCTTATCCTCGTATATTTGGACCTTGTTTATTAATAGGACTTAAGTTATTAAACTGATTAGCAAATAAAGGAAATCTTAGTCAAAAGTCAAAACAAAATTACGATATTCTGTAATTAAAAAAAATAATAATAATATCGCACTCGACAATGATATTTAAGATAAAGATAAAATTACTTAGTTCTTTTATTGTCTAATATTAATACAACACCAATACGGACATAAAGTACTGTATCCATTAAAAAAGAGCGTAGCATAATGTTTTCTAAAATACGCCTGTATAAAAGGATAAGATCTGATAAATAATTAGTTTTTTAAGGAATGTTAAAAAGTTGTCTTTACTCATTGATCTACGTTGGTTGTTTTTCCTGTTCGACTTATATTCTTATCTCCTTTTCTATAATATTTTCCCTTGTTACTTCCTCTTCAAATATTTAATAACCGTTATGCCCTCTATACAGGCATATTTTTGAGAAACACTATGTTACGCTCTTTCTTTATGGATACTTTATGACCGTATTATTAATACTAGCAGATAAGCCCGGCATTGCTCGGGCAAAAAGTAACGCTAGCGAAGATTAAGATTATTACATTATGGCCAATCTTACCCGTTTTCACAGAATGCAAGAATTAAGTCCCCCTGTTTCCAGACTAATTAGAAAATTTTTAGATAGATCTAAAAATATGTTCGATTTCCCGCAAAAACGCAAAAAGCCGCATCTGCGCCTGTAAATCTTGCACGTCGCTTTTTCTTAACACTTTCATTGTTAACACTTCTCTCGCGGGGGAATTTCGAAAAATCTCTTCTTAGTGTACGTTCTCATGACGTACCCTGTGTACCAAATTTCAACCATCAACTCCTAACCGTTTGGGCTCTGCGCTTCTTCTTATTATTATTATACAGTATTTTGTGGGTTATACTCAGTTGATACCGGTGGCTGTGTACTATGCCAGACCAGAGTCAATGCATAGCAACCAAAAACTAAAATTAAATAAGTGTGTCAGTGTCTGTATTCAGGAATTCCCTAACAATATGGCATGTATTATTATTATTATTATCAATCCATCTCGATTATATATATAGATAAGTCAATAAAAAAACTAAGTAATTTTATTTTTATCTTAAATATCATTGTCGGGTGCGATATTATTGTTTTTTTTTAAAAAGTTTTCAGTCAAGAAAGCTTACTTCGTTTTATTTTCTACGGATATCATTCTAACGTCCGGTTGCCACGAATCGATCGAGCTGAATTGTTTCTTGCAGGAAATTATTTTTTCCGACATGACTGATGGAAAAAAAAAATAGTTTTTGAGTCCGTTGTAAAGCAGTCCTATCAATACATCCTCCATCTTCGAAGATGGACGCTGTAATTTGTTTTATCTTTCGGCATTTTAGTTTTAGATTTTAACTAAACTAACTGCGTATGCCCGAAGTTGCTCGGGCTTTTGAGGGATGGGGGATTGATGAAATTGATTTGGGAGAGGGTGATAAAAACAATGGTCTTGGTGACTAGAATGCACAGTACATACAGTGACCCCAGTATTTACAATAATGAAACTGCAAAACAAAAAATTTACTGGGCTAAGGCTAAGCAAATGAGACTCCGACATGTTCGTAGCATAGACTTTTAACATTGTATCTTTGTCACTTCGCCACGTCCGAACCATAGTACTTTTCTCAAATCTCTCTTCGGTGGCATTCTACAGTAGTGTTTTTCAACTGTAGATAGCATTTAATAGTAATTTAGAATTACTGTATGCATTTTGTTACGTAGTACTCTATATAAGCATATATAAGCTTAATGAATATATTATTCATAGTTCATATATCAATAATTACTTGGTCCATGTAAAATTATCCATAATTTTACCGGTCTGCGATGAGAAATAGGTTGAAAAACACTTGTCTACAAGATAAGAGTTTTAATTTGATATCTAAACCGTATTTTTAGCCCAGGATTTTCAGCCCTTTTAATGCAGGATGCCCGAGCGGTCAAGATGGCAGCCTACCGTTCTGGAGGACCCTGGATCGAAAAATCCCCAGGAATTTTTCGGTGGATGGTATGTCGCTCACCAACCGGCCGCTTCATTATGGGCCTGGTCGAACTCATAATGGGCTTGCAAAAAGAGGCCCTCTTAGTGCCCACGGGGCGGAAAGAGTTTTAAAAAAGCCCAGCCGTTTATTAAAACTAAGTTAATAATAAACTGAAACCCTCTTTCTATTAATAGATATAATACTTAGTTACGAACTCGATAATCAGTAGAATGATCGAGATCTCAAAATCTGTAATCAATATAAATGATGTGATGTGCAATAATCTATAAAATTCTGTATTAATAACAGCTACAACAAATTATGTAAGCAGCTTCACTTCAATATTATTAGTAGTTTCTAAGATTTTGGTAGAATATAACTGAACAGTGAGGTATACAGAATAATGTTATAAATAGGGCCGTGAAAAGTCAGGGGCAGAGGAGGCACTTGTTCAAAGCACCAAAATCCAAAATTGCTACGTGGGAGACCTAAGAAATTCATAGAAAACTGTCACATACGAGTATAAAAAATTATATTATCATGTACAGTATTTGTAATATAATACACTTTTTATTAATATAATGAATATTATTTTTTATGATTTTTAAATTTGTAACAGACTAATGAAAGGCTTGTCCAAAAAAGATGTATTAAGAGTATAAATATGAATTGACACATTCGTACTTTAATTGTTAGTAATAAACTGAGTTTAATAATAATGAAAATGTTTATCCTCTGTTTAATGTTATCAGTCGGTTATTATTATCAAAGTCCCAAAGTGATAATAATAAGCGGATTCAACTGTATTAAACTTACACATTAATGATTTACATCATTTATGAGTAGCGTAACTAGGACCGATATTACTGAAGACCTTAACTAAAATCAATATTAATAGGCGCATATTTTTCTAATATTTATTAATTTTTATTATTGATTAAATTGCAATGAAGTTAGTGAGTACCAGCTTCCAAACTTTGTCTGTATGGTCAATTTTTTTTTATTTATCGTGGTGTCTCTTCACTTTTAAACATAGAGTTGCCTTTGTACTATGATTTTAAGCGGGGATTCCCATTGGAGTCGATGGATCTCAAGGGTATTTGAAAAATCAGATATTTATTGTACTTTTTCGAAAATTTCAGATAATTTTCAAATAAGAATAATTAATATCACGTGGAAAATTTATTAACTGATTTAATAATTTACTTGATATATTGTGCAAAATCTTGGAAAATAACTAAAAATTTAAGGGATTCGATCGAAAAGAATGTTTTCTATATGGCGAGAAAAAGGTTGATAACTCCTGGTTTTAAGTTTTGCAATCCATTTATAAATGTTATAAATGTAATTAAAACGTTTGTTTGTTTAGTTATGGCAACGCAATACTTGAGCGATCTGCCTAGGGGGATGTCTTCCGAGAGGTCTTTTTAAGGGAAACTGGCATCTACTTAGGCGTTACAGACGTGGAGAAAACCTGGAAAGCTCCACATGGCCAGCCAGTCCGAGCGAGGCGCAAACCCACGACCGAAATCCTAGTGTTCATGGAACGAAGACCGCTTGGCCAATTAAAACGTAAAATGTAAATTACGCTTTACTTTTTAATTATTTTTACATTACGCCCTCTTTTTTTTATTTATCGCTTTATTCTTTATTGCTGGCTTTGTATTTTAGCTTTTATTGAGTCTGTCTGTTTTTAGTGGGATTAGGTAATCTCTTGTTGTCGTGTACAGCATTACCGACAAATTGCATAAATAAACGAATTATGTCCAAAAGTATGTTATCGACATTGACACCCTGTTCGTGATAGATCATAAAAATTATTCGGTGTGATTTATAGATATAACCTCGAGTATCCGAACCTTAATCGTCGTAATTGTTAGAGGTTCACTCTGCCATCCAAATCGGAATTGAAAATATAATCGTTATTTTGCAAAATAAATGACTAAGAACAAAAAATATGTAGAAAGACCAAACTGTCTTCACTTTCGCCACGTCCAATCACCAGGAACGACAATCTTCTATTGCAGAGACGACCTTTCTTTAGAGATTACGCTTCTGCATATTTGGTTAGTCTTTCTACGTATTTTTTTTATTAATGTGCAAATTCGTCAGCCAATTTTAAAAAATTGGCTGACGAATTTGCACATTAATAAAAAAAATTTTTTTAAAATGATTTT